CAAGAGTGTCCCACAAGAGTGTCCGACAAGTGACCCACAAGAGTGTCTCACAGGAGTGTCCCTTAAGAGTGTCCCATAAGATTGTCCCACAATTGTGTCCTACAAGAGTATCCCGCAAGAGTTTCCTACAAGAGTGTCCCACAAGAGTGTCCCATAAGAGTGTCCCACACGAGTGTCCCGCAACCGTGTCGCACAAGAGTGTCTCACAAGAGTATCCCTTAAGAGTGTCCCACAAGAGTGTCCTATAAGAGTGTCCCACAAGAGATCACAAGAGTGTCCTACAAGAGTGTCCCACAAGAGTGCCCTACAAGAGTGTCCCACAAGAGTGTCTCACAAGAGTGTCCCGCAAGAGTGTCCTACAGGAGTGTCCCACAAGAGTTTTAAGCGTTTCCTACAAGAGTGTCTCACAAGAGTGTCCCACAAGAATGTCCTACGAGAGTGTCCCATAAGAGTGACCCACAAGAGTGTCCTACAAGAGTGTCCCACAAGAAGTGTCCTACAAGAGTGTCGTGTAAGAGTGACCCACAAGAGTGTCCTACAAGAGTGTCCCACAAGAGAGTGTCCCATAAGAGTGACCTGCAAGAGTGTCCTTTAAGAGTGTCCCGCAAGAGTGTCCTACAAAAGTGCCCCGTAAGAGTGACTCACAAGAGTGTCCTACAAGAGTGTCCCGCAAGTCCCAAAACAGTGCCCTTCAAGAGCTTCCTACAAGAGTGACTCACAAGAGTGTCCTACAAGAGTGTTACAAGAGTGTCCTACAAGAGTGTCCCGCAAGAGTGTCCTACAAGAGTGTCTGTCCCAAAACAGTGCCCCGCAAGAGCTTCTGACAAGAGTGACCCACAAGAGTGTCCTACAAGAGTGTCGTTTGGGCATATGGAACGTGTTTGCATTCGGGTTCGTGGGTTCCATCTTGTTTTTCACAAGGACACTCTTCGGCGAAGACAAGCTTGCCGTGGTGCAGCAGAGGAAGGCATTTGTGCAGTTTCATCAGCTAGCCAAGGATCATGGGCCAAAAGTGTTGGAGACAAGCAAATCAAATAATTGTACATAATTAGAATTGCTATGAGTAGTCAACAATAGGGCAGGGGCTTGGCATTTTCCGATTTCAGAATAGTGAACAAGAGCATGATTTCTCTTGGACTTTGACACTGTGTTTGTTCATCAGTTTTCAGCTTCTTTGGAGGCTACTTAGGTGGGCAGCCACCATGCCTCGGATCACAGAAGAGCCGCACCAACTTGACATTGGGAGTATCTTGGCTGTTTGCCTTTTGTTTCAGTTAGTAGATGTCAATAGTATACATAATCGTAACATTACATGAAACTACAGCGGTTTTTGGCTTCCATCGCGGCATGTCTCCTCCCAATAAGGTTTCTGGACAATCTGGTGAAGACTCGCCGTCGAGGAAAAATTCAAACTCGCCAGTCAATGCCGTTTCAAGGCGATTTCACTTGGACCTCTCCAAAAGGGTCCCGTTTTACTCTTCTCCCTTTCATTGTTTTTGCATTCCAAGAATTTCTGGTCGAAACAGCTGTGATCTGAGTACAAGTCAGTTCAAGAAGTGCTCAGCGACATCGTGTGTCAGGTGGCGAACTCATCGAAGTGCAATGCTAGCAGTCAAAGATGAGGACGTGCAACATCGAAACCATGCAGAAACGAACGGCTCAGAGTTACGTTTTCAATTATATATATACTTTCCATATACTTTCTATTTCTTTGTCACTTCTTTTCTGTTGACTGTTAGAGCGATTTGGATCTTTATTTAGACCTATTTGGCGAAAGCTTCGGGTGTACAGGAGCTTGAGAATGCAATCCAGTTAGCAGCATACTACGTCGAGGACGCTGCCGAGGGCCGATTGGACAACGGCCTGGCTTCCAATTTCAAGTCTGGGAACAAACTGAAACTGAATTGCTGCCGAGTGCAGACTCATATCGCGTGGCACGTGCCTTTGCAGCACTTGTGAGAGAAGTGGGAGAAAAGGACGTGATAAAGGCCTCCAACCTAGAAGCGATGCCCTCCAACCTAGAAGCGTTGGCCTCCAATCTAATAGCGATGGCCTCCAAGCGATGGCCTCCAACCTAATAACGATGGCAACAAGAGGAAAAGTCAAGTCAACCAATTTGAGCTTGTGCAGAACTGGACTGCACATTCTTCGTACAAGCAATGCACGCTCACGCAGGTCACACTGATGACTGCCTGTGTGCTGCATTCTCTCCTGATCGTCTTTGAACCTGCTCCCTCAGAGCGTGTGAGTGGCACCCGAGGCTTTCTAAGTTGTTGTGTCAAGTTGCATGTGGTCATATTGACACGGCCTTTTTTCAGCTTGAATTCATAGCCCGTTCGAACAGTCAGCATTCTTGAATCTTCACATGAAGGAGCTAGATTCTAACTTAGCCTAGCCTACAAGTCTGTATCGCGGAAAGCCTGACTCGTGCATCCTTTTCATTTCTTTTGCCTTTTAGGGTGGATCAATGCTGCGGAGATTCTTCTCATGCTTCTCTATGTGGCCGACATCCTTCTGAAGGTCTGATGCCGTCCCACAGCCAGGGCTCCACTAGGTCCATTTCATATTATGAAGCCTCTACTTTTGTACAATTACATTTTGCAAAATTACATACTGTTTCGGTGCTGCCTTGTCACAAGTCCCACTATGTCCCCTTGTTTCGGCGGTGGAAGGACACGATATGACACGATAATATATGAAGTTTCATGCACTGCCGATCGGCTGCTGTGCAGGGTAGCGAAAGAAGGGATGTTTGATTTTCTGAGGTGGCATACATGGGTGCGGGTACGTTCCTTTCACTGAAAGGCTCCAAGGCGAGAGTCTTTATAATTTGATCTTTTTTGCAAGGAGGGAAAATCACATCATGTCACATGTATGAGAATTCCCGAATTGTTTTGGCTTCCAGACACAATTTCAGGTGTGGCAGACCACCTACGCAGCTTTGACAGCCGTTCTTTTAGTGGACGCTGTCATTGCACCAGCTACTCGCCTATCACGGCCTCTGAGACCTATCGTCTTGGTACTTCGCACCGGCCCCAGCTGTGAATTGAAACCACGGACATAACAAGCCCTTTTTGGCCTTTGTGGCGAGCCTGAATTTTGCCGAGGGTCCAGAAGCATTCGGAATTTCTACACCACGGTCTTGAGAATTTGTCCAAGCTTGCTGAAGGTGCTGGGACTGCACCGTGGCACCAACAAACGATTCTACAGTGGACAATGGTCCCTGTTAGTTTTGCAGGTTTCAATTTTCAACATGCACATGCTGAGGGTTATGTAGTAGTAGGTATTCGCTGTTCAGGTTTCATGTTGAGCATACAGATGCATCAGGAGTACTGAGTACAGGGGCTCCCCTATCGGTTTTGCAGGCATAAGATAGTAATAGAGCGCCATTTTGAGTTGTTTGCTTTGACGGTCCACTTGCTTCTATGTCATGTGATTCGGTCTTGAGAGCAGATTTTAGAGCCAGTGGATATGAGGTTGCTATTCATTCTGATGGCGTCCTCACTCGGATTGGCGCGCCTGCTGCGAGGAAGCAGCAGCCGATATTTCAACAGCTCAATTGCAACTTTCAAAGAGATGGCAGTGCTGCTACTGACACAGGACGCAGCATGATGCAGCGTGAGAGCAGTTATATAATGCAATTTCTAAGGCTTGTAAGGACTATGATGAGAGCATCTCATAAGTATGGAACTTCTTGGACTGGGGAGGTTGGGGTTTGGACTTTCCAAAATATCCTCCGCTTTTGTGGCGATAGTTTTGACCGAAACCTCATTGGTAAACCTCAAGCCGCTCAAGGTTCTGGCCCTGGAGTCATGCACATCATGCTCAAATTTGATCTCACCTTTGATAGTTGTAGTTGTAGGAACACGTTTGCATGAGTCCATGACGCCACAAGCCTCTGGTCCACTTTGCACCGATTTGGCACAAGTTCACATTGCGCATGCCCGCTGTCAGCTCTTTGTAGTATTTGCATCTATAATGTATACTACTTGTGTTTGGCTTCTTTGGCCAATGCAAATTGCAGGTCAGGTCGGTCAGAGTTGCAGGCAAGAGCTTTGCCTGGCTCAACTTTCAGCAGGATCTGGTCCTTACTCATGCTAGTGACTAGTGGGAGTGAAAGCTAAAAGAGTCGATCCAAGCAACCAAAGCCAGCCATGATTAGAAGGAGCATGGTTCTGTGGCTCTGCAGCCAGAAGGCAGCCGCGTCAGTCTGTCTAGGGGTCTAGCAATGATTCCCTGCGGGCATGTTTGTCGCTGGTGGAGGGATTCAGGACAAGATGCCGGGGTGACGAAGGTGTAGAGTCAGGCGATGAGTCATGGAAAGAACCACTGTATGACCACCACTAAAAAAGACTCATCCATCGCATTGGATCGCGCAAATCAGAGGACTGTGCGAGATGTCTCTGAAAGGCCGTAAGGTGAGCTTTTCACAGGCTTTGTCGCCTTTTGATGGGACCATCACGCGGAGTGGACAGATTGAAGTTGTCAGCTCGTGCATCTCACTGTCTAAGCAACGCATCATCCAAGCCGTTGCTCTCAAAAGCTGGGCAGCTGGTTTGGTTTGCAACTTGGGCGGCTTGGGAATTTGCAGATCTGGACGCATGCTGCATTCTGCAGCGCGCAGGCTACAATCAGCCTCACCAATTCAAGGTCCAACTCTGGGTGGACCGGAAGCAACGCTTCTTGTTGGTGTTGCGCACATCTGCAGAAAAATAGAAGGAAGAAGGGCATTAGGTGGCAGTGGCAGTTGAACATTTTGGCCCCTGCTTTTAGGAAGGGGCTGGATACAGCTCGTGCCAGAACTAAAATAGCTAAAAACACCAAAACATGTTGTTCCTGGTACTTGCCCATCAGGTGCACGGACATTTGTGGCCGAATGCTACTCCACACGCATTTAGGCATATTGTTGCAAGATCCGGACCGATAGGATCACTCGTGCACTTGTGTCAGCGCATGTGTGTTCTTCCCTTTCAGGGAAAATGTACTCATCGACAAAGTTTACCTTCCAAGCCGAATGAAGTTAGCTCTTGAGTTGCGATCTGTGCTGTGCCAGGACAACTACAAAGACGCTCGTGCAAATGTTTTTTGGGTTGGCGGTTGGGTCAAGAGACTGTGTTCTATTCCTGACAGCAATTGCAGAGTAGGCGACAATAAATTCCAGATGCGCGACAAGAAATCTTTTTTGTCCTGAGTAAAACCACGTGATTAATTCGGCCAAAGTTTCACAATTAGAGCTTGTGGCCTTAATTGTGACTTTTGAAGTTCAGTGGAAGTGAGTTGTCGCAAGGATCTCCTCAATGACCTTATGAGCCATGGTGGGCTACTTTCTTTATTGGTGTTTTTCACGTTTGTGGTAGTGGGTATACTATTCCTTTTGCAGCTGCTCAGCGGCATTGACCTCATGACCATTTGCCGTTTGCAAGGCACACACATAGGATAGCTCTTGAGGCCAACTTCTTCTTTTTTCGTTGTGCTGTATCAGGTTGATTTTGGGTACCGTGATTGATACCTACATGGAGGAAGCCCAGGAAGAGCTTCGCAGCAAGCGAGTGAAACAGTCGAAAGGCGACGTGTTGTTGGCGGAGCCTACTTTCAATCCTGTTGGCAATCAAATAAACAGCGACGTTTTTCGATTCAATTCCCAAGGAATAGCATGCCCCTCTGCAGGTAATCATAGTGGACCTATAGATACCATAGTACAATGACATGAACATTTTCTGAGTTGGACAGTTGGACACTGAATATTGGTTGCATACAGATATGCATGCCATGGCACTCACTCAGTGACGCATCCGTTGGTGAAAGGTTTGATGCGGGCCTTCTCTGTGCTTGACTTTCGGAATGAAGGAGCTCATTTGCTGTTAGCAATTGACACATGGACACAACTTGTACTGAGCATATTGGACATGAATGAGCCCGTTTGCAGGACGTTTGCGCCAGAAAGCTTTCGAGCGCTTGCTGCAGAAAATGCGACCTTCAGATTCCCCTTTTGAGCGACATTTGAAGTTCAGCTGCCCGGTGTGCAGAGTACAATGGGTATGTTAGTAAGGATGCTCCTAGTAGTACGGCCAGGAGCCCCTAGTAGCGTCTTTGCTCCTAGTAGCGATGCCAGGAGCCCCTAGTAGCTTCTTGTTACTAGTGCGAAAGAAGGGACATAAAGACATAGAGTTTATTTTTGGCAGAGAAGGAACAAGGGATGACAAGGGCCTCTCGCTTGCCAGCGAGTCTGCAAAACGCACTTCAATGATCTTCAATTTTTGAATTTGCTGCAGTACCAAGGTCTTCTTTCCAACAAATACAAGTCAATGGTAACCCTGTCTGGCAGTTCGGGTCCGTCTTCACCTGCACGGAATCGCTTGGAGGAGCCCTGGTGGATCAACTCAAACTGCAGTTGTAGGCAAAGACGGAAGGGACATCGAGGGACGATCAGATTTGGTCAACCAAAAGATCGCATGGCTGAATTCATAGCGAGTCTTGGAGATTTGCTGTAGGAAGTCTCCTCATGTGTGCCATCTTCGCCGCAAAGGCGGCCGATGCTGCCAAAATTGCTGGAGTCGCCACCTCCTTTTCAGCCAAGTAATGAGCCAACAGTTGATCCGATCGACTTCCTTTCGCTACACACTGTGCCCCAAGCTGGAGCATAGCGCATATGTCACACATGCACTTTGCCCAATATGTCGCAAAATAGAAAATTTGTTTCTTTTTTTTTCATTTTGTTTCCTCGTTTTTCCTTTTCAATTTTTTCTCCTGGTGTGCTTTGAGGTGCTGGAGCTCACCTTTAAGCCTCGTCGTCCAGCCTGGGATGTGCCTGGTGTGGCTGGAGAGCAACCCTGGTGGAGCCGATATGCCGAAATTCTATTGGCTGATCTCCGCAACTAGACAGCATCTTGTGGATTCCATTGCTATTAGGTTGGAGGCCATCGCTAGTAGGTTGGAGGCCGTCGCTAGTAGGTTGGAGGCCATTGCTATTAAGT